CTCTACCCTGTTCTGTGGACCTCCGCGCTGGATGAGAGAGAGCCCATGCATTGTCTCACATGCTATTTGTCAACAGAATCAGCCCAGTTTGAAAGGGATGAGATATAGTACAACAATGCTCTTTTGAGATGAGTAACAGATAATGTGCACCCTCTTTAACCTATCCCAATTAACTTTTTAAAACTCACTAAAAGAGAGAGAGAGAAATTGTGCAGTAAATCAGTTTATTTTTCTCAAATTCATCTTCCAAAAACAATTAAAGGCCCACTTTGCTTCAGTGTTAAATTCCACTAAATAACTTCAATTCATCTGGAATTGTTTGTTACTGGTGATCTGAGTGTCATCATAAACTTTATAAAGGGTTCAAACAACCTAGTAGTGTTTATTGAAAGACTGTTTTCTGTTATGCTATCATAGAGACATGTTTGGGGATGGGTMTGTTTCTAAATTTCTATTCTGTTCTGTTGTCTTATTTGTCTGCTCTTGACAAAACACTATGATAACTAACAATCATATAGTAGGCCTTGATATATTATGTTTTTCCAGTTGTGTTATAATTTTCAAAAATTTCCTTGGCTAACCTAAGACCTTAGCAAATGTATATGAATTTTAAATTCAGCTTGATGATTCTTTCATACCTTGAAAAGAAAAAAATGAAAGAAAAAGAAACAAAATAGCAAGCAAATAAAAAGCCTTGACATGACTTTTAATGAGATTTTATTGAATACATCTGTAATTTGGAGAGAACTGACATTTTAAAATTATTTAGTGTTATAATCTCTAAACTGGGTATTTTCTCAATTTGCTTATATCTATTATTTCTCCCAATGATATTTTATAATTTTCAATATATTTTTTTCCAATATTTTGTAAGCTTTATTCATAGGCATTTGATAAGTTTGATACTGTTGTGAAAGTTATCGTTTTCTTGATTTGTTTTCTGTTTCTGATAGAACACAATATAATTGGTTTTGGTTATGCTGACCTTATATCCAGCAACTTTATTAAATTTTCTTATTAGTCTGTGAACTTTTCTATTATGTTTGTTTTCTAAGTGTCTGCTCTTGTCAAGAGTAAATAATGGCAATTTTACCTTCTTTGTAATCCTTACACATTTTATTAACTTGTTTTGCCAGCTTTCATTGCCTAATAACTCTAGTACTCTAGACATCAAAGGGAGATTTTTTAAAATTCTGCTGCTGGTTCTGATGTGTGCAATAGGATAGCTATCTTTTCTCACATTGAGGAAGTTTCTTTTTATTACAAGTTATCAAATAGATTTTTTTTTAAATTAAGACCCCTTTCTAAGTTCTGGAGCAGTTTGTTACAAAGCTGAAAATACTCTCACACTATGATTCAGAAAATGTATTACTAAGTGTTTACCCAAATTAGTGGATAACTTATATCCACRCAAAAACCTGTATGGATATTTACAGCAGCATTATTCATAATTGTCCCAAATGGGAAGCAACCGAGATATCCTTCAATAAGTTAATAGATAAAACATAGTATATCCATATAGTGGAGTGTTAATTCAGCATTCAAGATATCAAGCTATGAAAAGACATAGAGGAAACTTAAGGTCCTCTTACTAAGTGAAAGAAGCTGGTCTGAAAAAATCTCTATATACTTGCAATTATATAACATTATAGGAAGGGTAAAATTATAGAGGCATTAAATAGATCAGTATTTTCCAGGGGTTCATGAGCAGGAGAGGAGAGATTATTAGGTGGAATACAGAGCATTTGTTTAGGTCTGTAGAACTATGCTGTATGATACTGTAATGGTGAATATATGGCTTAACATATTTATCAGAACCCATAGAACTGTGTGATTTAGAGTGAACCCTAGTATAACTATGTTCTTTAGCTAAGAATAAATGTCAGTATTATAATAAATATTATCAGTATTATAACAAGTGTACCAAACTAATGCAAGATGTTAATTATAGAAGAAACTGGATCAGATGATGAAGGGAAGAGGCTGTGGGGGAACTCTCTGTACTTTCTCTGAATTTATTTTTGTAAAGTTAAAAATGTTCTAGGGGCTGGGGATATGGCTCAAGCAGTAACACGCTTGCCTGGCATGTGCGGGGTGCTGGGTTCGATCCTCAGCACCACATAAATACAAAATAAAGATGTTGTGTCCACCAAAAAATGAAAAATAAATATTTAAAAATTCTCTCTCTATCTTTAAAAAAATGTTCAAAAACTGAAGTCTATTTAAAATGTTTTTCTTTTTACATGGAGGATATGGATTTATTTTTTTATTTTTTATTACATACCCATCTAAATTTTAGTGTATTCTATATTGCAAATCTATAACATACATATGTATTACATATTATATATGTAATATGTAATATTATGTAATAGAAACACTTGTGCCTAGTCTATCCTCAAAATTCTTAAAATTATGCATTAATTCTCTTGCCATGGGTAGAGAAACTTTACTGAATTTATTAGTAATTGTTGGCTTCTGATTGTTTATCCCCATCCTTCTCCTCTTGGATTTTTATCAGGCCATAGAAATTTTAAGGAAAACAGTAGAATTTTTTCAATAATTGGCGTCATTAACCATGGTTCCTAATTACTTGCCTTATATTTTTCCTTTAAGTCACATAATGACTCAATGCAGTAAAAACTAACATTTATGTTTTCATGAGGAATTTGAGGCAAAGGTAAGTATGATACCAGTGAATATATAACTAGTAAATGATAAGCCAACATGGAACCCAAGTCTACTTCACTTCTACARAACTTATTGGCCAGTTGCCACACTGTCATGAACAGTCTTCAAGATTTGTAGTAGRTTCAGATAACTATTTTAGAGATAAATATCATCCTAGTTTCATAAATGATAATTCACTATGTTTCAAACCTTCTTTTCTTCATTTTAATGCCATATCTAGCAGTTTTTCRAGGATACATCTCTAGGAATGAGACTTCCAAGAGTGAGTCAGACTATTCTCCCAGTAATGAAACAGGTGTCTGAGACCATGGTCTAATAGAATGGGTAATGCCAATCTTCAGTGCCCCATCTCATTCCTCATTGAGTTTAGAATGGTTRATGTTGATAAGCATGTGAATCCTGTTATGTCTGTGGATCCTGTTCTCATCTGATCCCCAATCTACTCCCTTCTGTCCTCCTCTGTCTGTTGAACTCAATATCATATGCCAAACCCTGAGGTTTGAGATTCATTACACTGAACATGCATTATGTTCTTGGAGGCCCAAGAACCAAAACAGATTCTGAACCTGTTGTTCAGTAGAGAATTCCCAGAAAACCAACGTGCTCTAGGTTTCCCAGAAGAGGACTAGGCCCAGCAACAGGAATGACCACAGATGCTTGAAATGAGACCAAACCCTAGTGAGACTGGGATTTTCTGATTAATTCTAGAGCTTATAAGATACATTCAACATTAAGACACTTCAGGATGGAAGAACTGAACATATTMCCCGGACCTTCCCTCTCCCCAAAAAGAACTGGCTCGGATACTGAAAATTCCACTACAATCATTCAAAATAGTTTATTGTATGTTAAAAAACAGTTTGGAGAAACTCTAAGCAATAAGTACACAGGATGRTGTCTATGCAATGTTCAGAATGTTTTATTGTAGAGATAGAATCCTACGGGATTCATGCCAGAGGAATTGCATTGTGCCAATATAACAATGGGAAATAGAGGGAAGGGGCAATAGACAAGGAAGCCCAGCAGGCCATTAGAATACAGAGAGGTGGAGGAAAGCCATCACAGTCTTGAAATTTAGGGCTGAATATGGCTCTTTTCTCAGAGGTGAACACTGGTATCATCAGCTTTGGAAAGCTAGTAAAGCAGAAACTTCTTCACTGATCTTCTAAAAAGGGTYATCACCTAGAGGAGGACACAAATAGTTATTAAGGAGCTTAAGATGCTTAAATTTGAGCTCTTTCCTTTGGATTTCTTCATCTTCCCTCTTTATCATTTGACTTTGGGAAAGTCCTTTGATATTCTTCTAACCTTTAGTAGATATGACATTTCCAATGCCAGCTGTCAACACCACTTTGAGCATGAAGTGCCAACCATGCTTCACCTTATTTTAGATGTTCTGATAGCACTTTTAATACAGGAGGATCAAAAAGAGGCATTGGCTTCTGAGACAGTTCCATTTCTTTCAGTGATTCTACCTAACCCCAAGGGTGCCAGGCTTTGGAAATGCTCCTGCACCAAAGCCCTGTCTTAGGAAAAATAATCCAGAAGGTTCCTAAATATTGAAGCTTACTYTCCTAAATACTAGGATGTTGTATTATAATGCAAAACAATGACTTGAGGTTGAGGTGCTGAAAATTATTTTTAAGATTGTGGGTATGACCTAGGAGCAAATTTATGAAAAGAGATGATAGATCCTGAAGCTTTGGGATACTAGATGATGCCTATGTCTGGTTTGTTCTAGCAAAGATAAACCAAGAGATATAGATTCTCCAATCCTCCTTCCTAAGGTATAACTCATGCTTTTCCCTGTTTTCCTCTTTCCCAAGTCTCTAAAGATGTCCTTCTGACCATGCCTGACCTACCTCCACTTGTCTCACAGGGGCCCTCGGCGTTCTCCTGTATGGCTTTTTTGCGTGCCCTTGATGATGAAGATGGTCCCCATGATGATGCCCACTAGACCCACAAGCAGGCCCAGGGCACACACCACATTCTCTTTAGTTTCTGGTAGTGGAGTTTGCTCTTCAAACKCTGGGGCAAAATAAAACAGAGTAAATGGTAATGCATGTGGTAGGGAACAGCATTTAGGGTTAAATGTAGTCAATAGAATAGTTATGAATAGTTGAAAGAAGAGAAAGAATGAGGTGTTGGTGGAATTGCAGATTAAAAAGTTAAAGAATCTGGRTAATGGAAGAACACAAGGGTATGAAGAGTAGAAGATATTATGATATGCTCTGAGTTCTAAATGTCCAGACGTGAGCATCATAGGAGGAAACTTAAAGAGGACTGAAGGATATTCCATACCCCAGTGTTTAAGAAGAGGTTTCTCCAAACCCAAGTGGTCCACCTCGCAGTCATAGAAGTCTTCATTGGAGGGCAAGAAAGGGAGATAGTGGAACTTGCGGAAAAGTTGGTCTTTCCTGGGTAGAAAGACTGTYTCTGACACTCCTGTGGTGACAGGCTGTCCATTTTTAAGCCATCTGACATTGACCACTGGAGGGGAGAACTTGTCGATGAAGCAAATCAGGACATTGGGCTCTCCCAGTTCCACAGGACCACTGGAGAGCACTGTCACTTCTGGAGGTACTGGGGGAACACAGAACAGAAATTAGTTTTATTCCTTAGGCTTGCTCCTCTCTCTCCCCCAATGACTTGTGGTACAAATTTACCTAGTGACTCTAAACCCAACCAGTTGAAATTGTGCCCTGAGAAGTCTGAGCCACAGTCTYAAGACACCTGGCTCTGATGCTCTGGAGCCAATATTCAGAAAAGAGATGACAGATCCTGAAGCTTTGGGATACTAGATGATGCCTATGTCTGGTGTGTTCTAGCAAAGAGAAACCAAGAGATACAGCTTCTCCGATCTTCCTTCCTAAGGTATCACTCAAGATAAGATCTTCAAGGATATTATCCCTGGCTCCCCCAACATGGACAGTGAGTTCATGAGTGGCCATGGATGACCTGACTTGAGCACATCAAGAAAGGCACAAACTCAAAATTTTGGGGTCCATGGCAAGAGAATTTGGGGTTTGTTTACGGTTAGGGTGAGGCCTCTGGGAGGGAAAGTCACAGTAAACGACAAATCACTTAAAGTATCTATGTTAAAGCTATGGATCCCTACACCCAGGAGCGYGGCAGAGAGAAGAGAAGGGAGTGGTACCATTGGAGTCCCAAGTGTTGTTGGAGCGCTTCATCATGATGTCTAGGTTGGCTTTGTCCACAGCTAGATTGGCCAATGCACCCTGAGCCTCAAAGCTGGCAAATTGTCCGAATTCTTTAAGCCTCCATACCGTCTCCTTAATTTTCGAATCCACATGTAAAATCTCATCACCGTCAAAGTCAAACATATACTCTCCTAATTCATCAGGGTGCAGATAGAATTCTGCCTGGATGATGGTATGGTCCTCTGAAATGCAGAAACGGGAGTTAAGGAGGGAATCAGGATGGGGAGATGAAGAAAACRTATGCATGTGAGCAGGAGGTGATGGAGACAGACTGAGCTAAATTAAATGGAGGAAGACAGATTGAGTGACAAGGTGAGAACAAGGTGACAGACAGCCAAACTGAACAAAACTGGAAGGGAAGAGATGAGGAGACACTGTTAGAGAGGTGGACTGAAGGAGATGATAGCTGAAAGTCCAGCCTCTTATGAAGCTATTAATTGACTCCACTTGACTAGCTGGGAAATATTTTCTTTTCAGAAATCTAGCAGCAGCTCCTAAGAGAGGAGCTGCCATACTTTACCCAGGTATCAAATATACTTGGGCCAGAATTCCAGAACATCTCCTTCTCCCAACACTGTACTAAGAAATATTGTTTGAAAGGTTAAGTTCTGAACTCTGAAATCAAACAAAATCTTGAATTCTTGGGTTGGGGAATGTAGTTCAATGGTAGGAGTGTTTGCCTAGCACATGCARGGCCCTGGGTTCAAAACTCAGCACTGCAAAATAGGGGGTAAAAAAAAAAATAAAAAAAACCTGAAGTCTTGTTCAGTTACTTACCTAGTGATCTTCAGCAGATTTTTCTACCAACTTATGTGTAATTTTCCAATTACAGTTCTGCTGTGATTTTGATTCTACTGTGAGTTTTTTTTTAAGATTAAATGAGATCAAGTAATTTCTTGGAATGTCTTCAAACCTCTAACAAGCATGCTTCACATTTTAAGGTCAGAAACTTCTCTGTATTTAAGSACCAGACCCATGGAAAATACAACTAGGGTCTAAGGCACCCATAAAATTAAGATTTAGATCTTGCACTATTGTACAGCWCCTGCCTCCCTGATACCATGAATAGCTCTTTGAGAAGGATAATGATCTGAATTGAACTTAGTAATCTGACCWTTATCTTAATGCCCCTTATATTGAGATGGTCATTATGGGACAATATTATGATTGATATTAATAATAACTAACCCCAAGGGAATAAAAAGAAAAGCTATAGTTGGATAGTATGCAGCCTCCAAGGTATGTGAAACTGAAAGTAAAGTGTTTCTGTGTTCAGGCTTCAGAGATAAGGCAGATTTTAAGGGTTGGCTGTTTATAAATACACCTAGGTATTTATTTAGCATTTGCATTTATGCACCAACAACTAAATTCTGACTACCATTTTCCAACCCAGGAGGAGGGCTCTACCTTTCCAGGTAAACATGCCAATATAGGGCTCTTTCTGGSCAGTAGAAACCTATAATGGCATTATGTCTCTGGGATCTGGGTTATTCCTTTGCTCATTTCCATTCTAATTGCAACCCTCCATAGGGCCACTCTGGGAGAATACTTTCCCACAACATGTATTTACAATAACACAAATATTTGTTCTGGATATGGCAGAAAATAGTATCAGACTCTCTACTTGTTCATTTGTCTATGCTCTTGGAAATATTACTAAGTAACAGTGACCACAGACAATGTAAGATCTACTGTATCAGGGAAGGAGGTGGGTGGCTGTCACTATCCCAAGAAACAGTAAATTAAATGCAATATATATCAGCACATCTGTCCCCTTTCTTGTTCAGATGTATTTTGGTGACTTTACTTTTTAGTGATCTTCAATACAATGCCTGTGCTCAAAATATGCCAACAGGATTTACCTGCCAAAAATTATCATGTATTCAGCTAAGAACAGTGCTAATAATCTTTCATTTTTTCTCATTTAATTCTAACAAAATTATGTGATGTTTCCAATATTTGGATTTTACCAAGATTCCCGAAAGAAAAATTAAAACCCAGAAATGTTAAATGTTAATGCCTGTCAGAAAAATATGCCCCTGCACCCCCAGTAAGTTTGGCTTTTATCATATTAGTGGTATTAATTAATGTGAAACTGTTTTGATCCTCCAAACTAAATTTGACTTACTTCAATTTATGATGAGGGAAGAGTTCCTCCAAACTATATTTTATGCTTTCAGATTCAGACTCTCAAACTTTTCTTTCACTCCAAAGATTGCCTTGCATATACCCACAGTTCATTTCTCTAAAGCTTCCCTGTCTGCTATCCTCAGTTTTTATTTTTCTTAGCACCTACCTTTGATAGCCCATGATTCCTGAGGGCTCATCAGGACAGCCATGAAGAAAARTCCTAACACCATGACTTCACTTTTGGCCATTTTCTTCTAGAGTGCTTTGATGGAGGGTCGGTAGARCTCACAAGTGAGGCAGAAGAGACAAGAATAAAAGAACACAATATTAAAATTCAAATTAGTTGGGCTTTAGCCAATCAGAAAAATATTTTGAGATGACACATCTGTTGCTAGGAGAAGTCTCTTGTAAAAGATCCAGGTCAAGAGATAGTAGTTCACTAGGGGGGAAAAAGACAGTTCTTAAGCAACAAAAATATCCAAGTTTTTGAGAATGTTGGTCAATCACCCACACACTCTTCCATCCTAATCCAAGTTTTGGAAAAGGGTTTTACCTGAAGAAAAGAATTAGTGGAAATAAGCTAAAGTGAAAGTTGAATATGATACAGATCCTGCCTCTAGGCCAAGACAACAGGGAAGGGTGTTGTTGTTGTTGTTTAATATGTTTTYAGTTGTCAATGGACCTGTATTTATTTATCTGTGGTGCTGAGAATMAAACCCAGTGCCTCACACATGCTAGGCAAATGCTCTACCACTGAGCCCCAACCCCAGCCCCAACCTCACAATGAATCATCTAAAGAGAATGCCTGGATTTGGGCAGTACAGGGTGACAGAGCTTCACTTAAGAAGCTCCTTATGGCTTCATGCTTCTCTTTTCAATGTCCTGGATCACAGAATGACCAACTCAGACCAAGATCTTGGGGTCAGTGGCATTATGTTTTATTTAGAGGACATTGGAAGAGAAACTCTTGAGCTTCAACACTCCCAAAGAGAAAGCTACACCTTTAGTASTGGTTAACAGAGACAATGGGCTGTGAAGAGAGGAACTTCTCCCAGTTTCTGGCAGACTGGAGAGATTCTGTAGAGAGAATCTGACCTGGGAGACGCAGGTCAATGAATGAACTGGGCAGTTTATTCTACTGGGCACTCAGGGTAACAGCCCAGAGGAGACATTGCCATGTTTTAAGATTATGAAAGCTCTTCTCCTGTCATATGACTATTAAACTTCTGATGCAAAGAATATATTTTGATGTTCTCCATAGAGAATACTGAAAGTTAAATGTCTCTGAATCTCCTGTTTCTGAAAATATAGTGCAATGGAAAGAAAATGTTAAGTTACACCTAGAAAGGACTGAAATTCCAATATTTCCAAGGAAGAACAGGCTGTCAGTGACATCCCATCAGGTGGTGAGTCTTTCATTTAACTCAGTCATGACATGTTTGTTTAGGGTAGATGTTGGGCTGAGTGAGTTCTTATCCTGACCTGCAGCTGCCCTCACACATCAGGAGGGCATCACTGATTTTCTGATCACACCCAAGGGCTTTCAACATCCTGTATTATTGACTCCTAGATCACTAAGAGGAGACCCATAGCACAGTCCTGCCCTAAAATAGTTTGGGTAACCATCTCTCACCAGATGAGAGTTCTGCAGTGTCAGTCTCTGCTGAGAGTCTGGTTCTATGATTTAGGCTCGTTGTTTCCTCTTTCAGAGAGCAAAGCTAAGTTGTATAATTTTGCTGTGTATCCTGTGCTGGCTGCCATCATGCCTTGTCCTTAAAAGGTGCTTCATAAATGCATGGTAGATTCAAAGACACTTTACATGTCATACAGCCCCTTCATCCCAAGGTATTGCTTAGCAACTTATGATTTTGTTTAGTCCTAATCCACTGATTGGTTTTGCTCATGAGATTACCAAATTTGAGAGACTTCAAAAACAACTTTCAGTTCCCCTCCTCTGTGATTCAAGACAAGTTCCTATACGGACGCTACTCATGGTTTCCTGTTCTCCCAAATTCTAGTTTCCTGTGTGTTTGAGGGGATTTCTGAGGTCACCTGAGTGATCTCTTTATGGTGACGGTAAGTGGTAAGGAACACTGTCATTCAGGATTGTCCTGCTGTACCCATAGACACTCCAAACAGAATTGAACCTATTATAAAGAAGTACACCTTGAAACTGTTGGGGAGTCTGGAAGAGYAAAAGTGAGTGCACTTTCAGCGTTAAAAGAGGTTAGGGGGGCTGTGATTGTGGCTCAGTGAGTGAGCACTTGCCTCGTGCATGTGAGGTCCTGGGTTTGATCCTCAGCACCACATAAAAAGAAAATAAAAATAAAAARTAAAAAAATGCCCTCATTTGAAAAAAATAATAAAAAACTAAAAGAGGTTAGGAACCTGTGGGAAGCCCCCCTGACATCTCAGTTCCTCTAGAGCCCTCAGGGAGTGGAATGTCTGCTGTGGTTGTCACTCATGTCTGCTGATGCCAAAACTCATGTCCTTGAAACCCTGGGTCCTCTGTGTGAGGTGGCTCCACACAATGCTGAGTCTCACTGGAAAAGTGTATGTTCAGAAAATTTGGGTTGAGCAGAAGCAGGGAGATGTAATATTCTTGCTTTTGTTCCTTAAGATACAAACATGACCATAGAAATAAATGGAAATTTTATTAAAAATTACTAAATATCAATGCATATAATATCTGTATATCTTTTATCCATCTATCATCTCTTCACTGTCTCACTCTGACCCTCCCATATTATCAAATACTTAAGACCAGAGGAAATATTCTTGCAGAGTAATCGGTTAGAACTTGGGAATGAAGGATCTTCCACATTGAGCCCAGATCAAGTCTGGGACCTCAGTACTTCATATACTTATGTAGTCTAAATTCTAAGAACCTTCAATTCCCCTTACAACTTCCCTTTCCTGAACCCTTTCCCTTGGTACTCGGGTGCTTCATGGTGTTTTTCCCTACTGAGGACTTCCCCAGAGAAGTGCAGAGGTWATGTTACGTAAGCATTTCATTCCCAACTCACTACTCAAGAAATTCTGTGTCACTTCTCCACTTCCTAAAAGGTGGTAGAAGCTAATCTGCTGGAATGAATTCTCCATCAGAATGGAAACCGGGAACTGCTRGTATAAGCAAATATGCTAGGGTGGCTGGATGATGGGACTTCCTASTGTGACCTGTATGAACAAAGGGCTCCGTAGTGACTTGGTTCATCTTGAACCTGGGAGGATGACAGGTGAAGAAACTGATTCATTCTCTGTTCACCTCTACCTGAAACAATGTTTTAAAGATCCAAGTTCTCTGCACACAGCCCTTCAGAGGTGTGAAGTGACACTTCCTTACTTGAGTAGTCTGTGTAAATAAGGAAATGCAGGAGAGAGAGAGAGAGAGAGAGAGAGAGAGAGAGAGAGAGAGAGAGAGAGAAACACACTGTTAACCCACATCTCAGGATATTTCCCTACAGAAATTCCCAATGTTCTTGTCTATTCTAAAATGCACAAGCTGAACCTTATAACTGAGAGACTGTGAAGGAAAAGATTCACTTAAAAAGTCATCAAAGAAGCCTTCGAGTAATTGCCTCCAACAGCTGCCCCATGCGTCCCTTCAACCTCTTGATCCCCTCACCCAGCACCTCCTCCTATTCTGCAGATGTTCTGCAACTTGTTTTCAGAGTTGCTTCCACTGCGTCTGTCATCTTCCCATTCCAGAGCCAGTGTAGACAGTTAAGATGCAGAAATTTCCAATGCAAAACTGTTTTCATTTTCCAAAAAAGTGCTTTTACCTTGACTCCTCTTATGGCCTCTCTCCCAGAAATAGGGAAACATTTTATGCAACCATTCAAATGAGACAGAGACCTGAAGTATTATGTCCTACTGCACAAATTCTAAATGTCGTAATCTTGTCGAGGCCTGAATGGAGTTCAGATGTRTTCGAGTGCATATGCCTCTGTGTGTATGTGTAGGAAAAAGAGCTTAAACATCTCCTGTCCTAATAAATCTGATTTATATAATTTTAAATTTACTCACTAATCCTTTAATATTGCTTGGTCATAGTTTATGTTTAATATTTTTGTTCTGAGGATATCTGAAGCAAACTGATATAACTGCTATATTGGATAAACACTAAATAATATTCTTAATCAAATTGGTATTTTGTCTGTTATTGTCCCTTTACAGATTCTTGTTTAAAAGAACTATTTCCCTTGCYACTGTATAGGAATTATAGCATACTATATGAACAATTTGTTCAATTTTAAATAACATACTATCCTGTTACTTCCTTAAGTTGCACAAATAAACCTCAATTCAGCAATTAGATTGTTACTACTATGTAAGAATCAGAAGTTCCAACTTAATTTAATATAAATTTTTTTTTAATTGTTTACATTTTTATTATGAAGTATATTACAAAGGAAAAGTGATAGGGTGAGAGACTTTGGTGGGGAGGGAGTTKCAGTTTCCAGCCCTCTCTGGGTGTGCTGGCCTCTGCTCTGTGGGGAACTGCCATATTCACATACCCTGGAAGCTCTCTGAACATAGGTCTTTTTTCTTTTTCTTTTTAATTCTAGGGATTGAACCCTGGGGTATTCTACCACTAAGCTACCTCCCTTGCCCTTTTAATTTTTTATCTTGAAACAGAGTCTTGCTAAATTGCCCAGGCTGGCCTCAATCTTGCAATCCTCCTGCCTCAGCCTTCATGAGCTGGGATTAAGTTGTATAACACTGCACTTGGCTATTTTTGGTGTTACTGRCGACTGAACCTATGCCAGGCAAGTACTCYACACTGAACTAYATTCCCAGCYCTTTATAARCAAYTTTTGAYACAGGTTCTCACTAAGTGGCCCAYGATAGTTTCAAATCTACCTCTTCTCCTGCCTTAGCCTCCTGAGAAGCAAGAATTGAGGGGTGTACCACATCAAGTCCCCTGTGGATTTTTATGGAGACTTCTTTGCGTAGACATGATTACTAACAGACTGGGTGGGRAAACCCAGCCAGGCTGGTCTGTTCAGCAGCTTTTCTCCCTTGAGGATATGAGTAAGSATCCCTCTAGAATGAGGGTTTAAGACCTACTCTTCCAACAGGTAGGTCAGAGAATTTCTTTTTCTTTGTGATGCTGGGAATTGATCCCAAAACCTGAAGCATGCTAGTGCTAGACAAACGCTTTACCACTGACCTACACACTCAGGCCCCAGAGAATACTTGCTAAAGGCAGAGGAAGACMGAAGGGAGTTAGAAGCCATGAAGAGTAGACATAAACCAAAGGTGGTAGGAAGATATATACGT